AAAACCGTAGTGTACTTCGGGCTACAGTGAATGTATAACAGCTAAGGGGCGTTGTTAGGCACGATGCGATATTCCATATACGTAGTAAGGTTTCACAAAATAAAACAGAGCAAATAAAGTGTAATGATATTAATAAAAACAGTATTCTTCCGCTAAACAATGTAGTTCCTCAGAAACGGTTGTGGTTCCAACAAAGTGGTTGCCAAGCAACACACAAATGTAAACAAAGGTGTATGTTTGTAGTGTAATTTACAACAGCTTCGAACGTGGCTCAGCCAATCAGAATCAAGGACCGGAACACTCCGTTTTATAATATTCAATACTTTGCTTGTATTAAGGGCGTTGTGCAATAAGGTGGTAATAGCGCCTTTAGCACGACGGGACACAACAATGTTTGGCGAAACTACTGTCTTCGACCGTTAATATTTAAACTTTCAGAAAGCAACAACTAGAATGAGATGTTATATATGTTTATGCTTCTAACAATACTTATTTAGAAAATACGAATTATTTCTTGTTTACAATACGTCAAGAAAGAGTTCTGTCGCTATACGGAAGTGAAGTCGCTGGCTGAGATTCTACCGGAAATACGTAAGCAGTGTTCGTGCATAGAGTCTATTCTAATGTTAGCTCACTTACACAATGAACATTTACAAAAGGATCTTGTTTGTTATGGAACTGTTACATAAAATCATAACAACACTATTTTCCTAAGAGGTTTCATCCTGTGAAGTAATTGTACTGATATCAAAGCACAGAGTGCTATAATTCACAATAATCAGCAGTCCGTGGGCAAGAGCAGCTGTGTAACTTGCATCATTTGTATCAGTACCATGACTGGAATATCTTGATTAATGATTTAAAAGATAATACTTAATTATGTGATTCAAAAACTTTGTCCAGCAATGACCACTTTGGTGTCTTTTTACCAAAAACACGTCTTTACTGATTTCTTTTCCTTTCTGTTACGTCATCACACCAGTAGATGGCGACAGGTGAGTGACTCTCAGAGTGAATATTACCAAGGATGGATAACTACATTAACATAAATAGCAATTAACAAATATCACAACAATGCATCATGAACAAACATGAATTAAAAAATGGTACATTCATAAATTGTTGTCAAAATTAAAATACATTAACATCAAAAACTTAACATTTCAAAAACTTAACCTTACAGTGTTACCTTTCCTTTTAAAGACACAGTCGGAATAAAACTGGGGGATGTGAAATTCACTGAAAACCAAAGATCTCTACAGAGGACATAAATGCATGTTATGAGCCGCAAGAGTGTAATTAGTTAATTAGTACAGGGCTAAAGGCCCTAGTGTTTCTTTCTGATGGGGAAGTTAAGTCATTTTTATATAGCAAAAAGCAAAGGAGTTATATAAAAATACAAACAATGGATATTTTAATGTGAGATTGACTTTGAATTTACAAACATCTATCATTTAAATCAGTTTACTGTCGATAACATTTACTTTTAAGAGAATTAGAAGATTTTTAATACAATTTTTGTAGTTTTTTTTTGTATTCTAAAGTGTTCCAGACAAAGTTGTTTTGAATAAGCACACAGCATATATAGATATGTAGACTGCTCTGAAGTTCAATGCAAAAGCACTAACAGCAGGCGTCTGCTAACAGAGAGTTGCTGAAGCACGTCACTGCGTGATCTTCCTCCTGGTGGCGCTGTGCGGTTGTTTGGGAGGTGGTGGTCTGCTCTTGATGTTCTGGCACTTTGGGATGTGTCTCTCTGCCGGCCCTGGGGCAAATCTGCGGCCACAGTGAGGGCAGCTAACATATTCTGGGTTCAGGTTCGAGACTGACTGTGGTGGCACACTTCCTTGACCCTGACGCATGGTTTGAATGAAGGCCTCGTGTTTCTGTCGCCAATTATTCTTCTTGAGCTGTGGATAAAAACAGTAAGACATCAGTAAAGACACGGGTAGTACACAGAAAAGCGGTGTCATGAAGTACACATTACCACAAAACACAGATAGTCCTTTAGGAAATTGCAGATGACAAATAACATCATGACTATGTTTATTTACCAAGGTCAATATGCAGGTCAATTACAGTCAAATTTGACTTAAATTTGAGTCTGTTCCTCACACTATCATATCAATTAAGAAGACTTCTTTAGTGTACAAATCATTCATTTATGATCATTCAAATGCAAATGTGTTTTTGTTGAGTATCATATTTGGTCGATCAGGCTTTTATGGCTCATATAGTCTGATATAGTGAGAAAATGGAGGGAAAAAACTGCTGTTTTATTCCGAGACTCAAAAATATGCTATTTAGTGCAGATGCTGATATATTTATATGATGAAATTCTGATGCTTGTAATGTAAATCAGTGAGATCTTTATAACAGTGCAGCAGATACTGACATAAAATTATCTAAATATCAGTCGTCTCTATATCTCCAGTAATCTGTCTCAGTAAGATGAGATTGAAATGATCCAAACATATAATGCAATGAAATCCAGTGCTGATTGAGAGCTGAAGAAATAAAGGCTCCTCAGAAGATGTGAGATGTTCTGGAGGCTTGTGAAGATCATTCCTCCGCTGAGGAACAGTGAAAGTAAAGCTTCTGGAAACAAACGCTCCTCAAAAGATCCTGAGGATCAGATTTGAGACTCTAAAACATGATTGATGGAGAATCAAGTAAAGCTGAGCTGCTTCAGTCCAGTAAGTGTTCATCTGGAGATATTACTGCAGTTATTCTGACCTTTACTTGATCAAAATCAGTCAAGATTTGACACGAGAAGCTCCAGCTGAAGCTGGACGTTTGTACAATTACACTAAAAGTACACTAAAAATATGAACTATCAGTAAAGTTGTGCTCATCTTGATCATTTAGAGGCCTTTGCGTCTCAAATATGATACAGCAGGCTTTATAGAGTTAAAAGAAAGCATCTTACTTCTGGCGTTTTGCTCCTGCTGTTGGTTTTCATGAACTCCTCGAGGTCTGTTCCTTTGGCTCTGTACTGTGACATGTCGAATATCTTGCGCTGGGGCCGCTTTTTCTCACACACCCTCTTGTGCGTCTCCAGACGGTCTCGTGCGAAGCACCGATGGCACACGTCACACGGGATCACGGGATTCTCCTCCAGACTGAGCTCCAGGCGCTTTCCTCTCTGTCTGGGGTTTCTCTCCGGGACGGCCTCCTTCGTGAGTTTCGATGCGAGTCGATACAAACCGTCTTTATGTTCTCTCCTCTCATGCTTGAGGTGAGATCTGTCCCTGCTCTCAGAGTCAGATAGATTGGGTTTTCTCACGTCGCAGTGTTCTTCGTCTTCATTGTGCAAATAGAGGTTCTGCGTTGCCCTTCTTCTTCTGACATTGTCCCATCCCATGTTTTGCCTGTTACTCATTTCCCGGCTCCTGTGTTTTGCTGTGTGCTCGTACTCATCCCACTCTCTCATTTCCTCCAGCTTGTGAGCCTTCGCCATCTCTAACATCAATGGTTGTTGTCCCCATTTTGCACTGTCTTTGCTCCTCTCCAGCTGGCTACCATGTGTCCCTCGCTCCCATTCCCCCCATCTTTCCATATCATCTCTGAATTCCCACTTTTCATTCCCATATCGGTCCCTCTCCTCAGCCCAGTCGCCGTATCCACTACTATAGAACCTGTTGTCCTCCTTTAGCTTTTCCGAATATCTTTTATTCCTCTCATCTCTCTTTGCACTGTCCTTCCTCTCTTTTTGGACTCTTCTCAGAGTCTCCTCTGCTTTGAAAATCTTCTCCTGGAGCACCTTCTCCTTAGAGTGGATTTCCTTTGACAGCCATGTTTGTGCTTCAAGCCTCTGTTCACGGTCCATATCGCTCTTTGTCTGATTTGTTCTCCCTATTAGATTAAGAGCGTCTAGTTTCCTTACGACCTTCTGCTGGTGTCTAACAGCCGCCTGATCCGTCAGACACGAGTAAAGTCTCTCCTGATGTTCTGGTTTCGTGACGTTACTCAGGCTGTACGCTCTCTTGTGAAGGACTGGTTTTAGAGGGAATAATTTGTCTGATGCTCTCCGTGAAGGAACGTATTCACTCCGCTCCTCCAGATGTATGTGTTTCATCCTATGGATGTTGTCTGGATGTTGCCAGGGTTGTTGTCTCTCTCTCGTGGAGCTCATCGTTCCCTCTTGGTTTTCTAGAGCATGCGGTCTGTAGTTGGGATGAGCTCCTGAGGGACTGCGCTGTCTGCTCATGCCCTCTCTGTGCAGGTACGGCAGTTTTGTTGATACGGTCTCTTTTTCCCAGAAATGCTGCGTGAATTGATGGTGTGGCATCGTTTGCATGTCTATGCAGCGTGTAAATCTCTGAAACAGCTTCAGTAGGAGCCGATCGTCTAATAACAGCTTCAGTCAACCTGGGGTCAACACATAGACATGTCTTTACAAATAGTCTAGGTGTAGATTGTTTCTGTTTCTTCTAGCTAGCATATATTTACATTACCTGGGTCTAAAAAAAAGCTAGTCATTTGCTGGTCTCATACTTTTTTTTTTTTAGGCAAAACCATTGTTTTTTTTATTTATTTATTTATTTATTTTTCTTCCTGAACGTTTGACAGTATTTCCTGATTTATGGAGTGATAAAAAAGAGATTTAAAAAATCTCTGTACTGTGAAAACCTTTAACTTTTAATCAAACGAGAATTTTAAACCTGGCTTTATCCAATGTTCAGATTTCAGTTTTGGAAATATATGCAGATTAGAGCAATATTTAATTTGGATGTTTAAACATAATATTACCGATATTACCGAGAGTATGGTGATATACGGGCTATCTGTTAAAGGTTTCACCTTATTGACTAGTTTAAAATCCTCTTAACCCTCTTGGTTTAATCAGCACATTTTCATAAGCACTTGGACATTAGCCTAAAGATATTTAATATCTATGTAGCTTCAAACTTACCGGCTTGTGCTTTCTGTGAATGTAAACGGGTTCAGTGAGATCAATGTTTGAAGAGTTGTGTTTACACTCGTTGCTTAGAAACAAGACGACGCGGATTTCCTGCACATTTACCATTGGCTAGTTGCGTCAGACGTCGTGCCGTAACCCGGATGTCCGACGCGATGTGATGATGATGATGCTGCTGCGCATGTGCCGCTTCATGAGCAACACAGTAAGTTGCTGCTTCACGTGTGAAATAAACTGCATTTGAAACGCCAGTGAAGTCGATTTGACTGCGGATTTCAGAAAGCAGAGAGCCTTTTATTATCGTCCATCTGCCGGTACGTTATACAGTGCGCATCTCATGGTTCTGAATGGAGATGCTGTGGTCTGAGCTCTTATAATGATTGCTTGAGGTCAGTGGTTTGTGTTTCAGGTGATCATGTCCTCTGAAGAGCTGCTGTGTGTAGATTATGAGGTGTTTGGGAGGGTGCAGGGCGTGTTCTTTCGGAAATACACACAGGTAATGTAATCGTATCGTGTATAGGGGCAAGTTGTCACATGATTTCTACATTAGAGGCGTGTGTGTGTGTGTGTGTGTGTGTGTGTGTCTCTTAAACATCACAGTGGCATCAGCAGAATGCATGAAGAGATACTAATGTGTCTTAAATGCAATGTAAGTGGAAAGTGTCTGCCAAATGTATAAGTGCAAAGTCTTGACTATAGAAACCGATTGAACATTTTCACTGCTATTGCTCATGAAATATGTGTCAATATGGTGTTGTACACACAAGAAGAGCCTGCTGCATATAGTTTAAAATATGAATTACTATCTAAAGTTACTGTTTCTAAGATTTAATGGCTTTTATTTTAAGCTAGTTATAAACAGAGCAATTATGAAACATAAAACATTTAGGAAAACAGTAAAAAATATATGAAAGGTAACACAAAAATGTTAAACTGTTGTTGTGGCCAACAGTTACTGTGAATAATAAATTGTGTAGAATTACAACACATAAACCCACAACCTGTCCTGACCAGATATTTCTTAAAAATAATCTTGTCCTGTGAACACAGTTCAACATTTGGTTAAAATCTGCCTTCATAACAGAATCCACATTATAATCTCGACATTAACCTTATTTACTTTTTAGATAGATTTTCCAGGTATTTATTTTCCAGCGTTTCTTTAGTATCTTGATGGCACTGCAATTTGATTGAATGGCTTTGTAAATTTAGTTAAAGTTTTAGTAATTTTGTTGTGTGTTTTTGTCATTTTGAGTGTTTGTGTTTTTTTAAAATGTCTATATTTGTATTGTTTTTTCAGTTTTAGTTAGTTTAGTACATCAAGTTTTTTTTTATTATTTCAAGTGAATTTCAATGTTTTTTATGGTTTTAGTTTTACTTCGTTATAATAACCCTGATCCCCTCCCGTCCAGCCGCCTCATATGTTTGTTTTTCTCATTGAATGAGCTGTTATACTCAGAAAAATGTCAGATTACAGACGTAAATGGGTAGCTAAAGATGTTTCATGTTGACTTTAATCTTGTTTTGTGTTCTTCATGTGTTTGTCAATTTTTTTTAGGAATTAAATATTGTTATATTTCAATTTCTGTACATTTATTGATACTATTAATCAGTGTCTTTTTAAGTAATTTTTATGTTCTTAAATAATTATAAACCTTTCAAAGGAAACTCCATGTAGAGCACTTTGCGTTGTACAGTGCTGTGTTGATGTGTGTGTGCGTGTCTGTGTGTGTGTGTCTGTGTGTGTTGTGTTTGTGTGTGTGAGTGTGTGTGCGTGTGTGTGTGCGTCTGTGTGTGTGTGTGCGTGTGTGTGTGTGTGTGTGTGCGTCTGTGTGTGTACACTGATGCTGGGACGGTTCGAGGGCAGCTGCAGGGTCCGGCCTCCAAACTCCAGCAGATGCAGCAGTGGCTGCAAACCACCGGCAGCCCTCAGTCACGTATCGCCAAAGCAGAGTTCAAGAACGAGCGGCCCGTCGACAAACTAGACTTCAAGGATTTCAAAGTTGTTCGCTAATGACAGAACAACTCAATTAGTATTTATTTATTTATTTTTGACCTATTGTTCTTATTGACATTATATAACCTCTGTTCTATAATTTCAGAGTTCTGTGTTCTGTGTTCTGTAAAACACTCTCCTCCTGATGTAATAAATAATATAATAGACTTAATGTCCAGCCCTGTTTCTTCAGTGCATTTCTGTTTTATCATGGCTTCGCTTTCATTCACACATTATTGTGTTTCTTTATTTCAAAATGTAATACATGGTAGTTTTGTTTTGACAAGAAACGTCTTAAAATGCAACAATAGCGTTGACATGATAAATTATGTAACAGTTATGTGAAATCTAAAAGTAAAGCATAATTTCTGTAATTTTCAAATAACTATATACCAGATCAATTTGTGAAATTATGCATGATGTATTTTTTGTAGTTTAATATCAACAATGTATAAATGAAAATGAATTAGTAAAGGAGGGTTTAAATGTGTGTCCTTCCAGTACAATAACATCATTTTCATGTGTCGCCTGCACAGTAATAATGGTAATTTTGCATTATTTCTATTAAAGTTCTATAATATTTGAGGTATGTGCTCAAGCTTAATCCATTTCAGTATCAGGAAAAACCTTATGTACAATTAGACAAAAGTCTAAATTATCTGGTAAAAGCCAAAAAATACAATTTAAAAACTTCTAAAACACAAAAAGAAGTACAATCGGGGATAAACGATAAGGTTTATCTCTGCTGGCCCTTGACTGGATTTTTATTTCCCATACCAATATTCACTTGCTCTCCAAAAAAAAAGAAAAAAAAAATATTATTCATTATATATGTAAGAAAGAAATCTTTTTTTTTTTTTATAAAATATTAAATAGAAAAAAAAATAAAAGGCCTACTGCAATAGCTGTAAATTATTTGACCTACTTTTGATATAAAAATGATAGCATACAATGATTTGGTTCTCATTTTCAGTTCACTTTCATACTAATCAATTGTCCTGCGTTTCCCAAAAGCAGCTAAGTTCCGTCGTTACCAATAGAGTTAAATGGAACTAACGAGCATAGTTAGCTAACTAAGTTTTTGGGAAACGCACCCCTGGTGGGTTAGTACTAAACTCAGGTGCTTCCACAGTGATTTATCACTAGAGGTCGCTGAATGACCCATCGTCAGATGCTGCATCACATTGCCAACAGCTACTGTATATTGGAAAATCACCAACACTGTAAATTGCTGTCAGTGTGAAAACACCTTTACATGAAGGAGATACTGTAGCTTTATCTCATCACTCCTGGTTTGTGGACAATCAATGTTATACGAGATGCAGCACACATGTCTGCCCACTTTTTGATTGTCAAGGTTGCATCCCTACTTTTTGACAAATTATTATTATATTTAAGTGTTTTGTTTTGCCTGGTTGTGTGAAGAACAAATACAAGTCCTCTAAATATCATATTGCTCCAGGAGAGAAATCTGCACAGATCAAGCAGCGTTTACAAGCCAAAACAGTCTAAAACAGCTCTAAACTAATATGTGTGTGGATTTTGATGTGAGAGACTTTTTCACTGGAGGAAGAGTTATTGTGGATTATGGACTCGTGTTTTAGTTAAAAACATCTTAATGCTGGATGTGTTTCAGCTTTTGTCTTCTCCAGATGTTAACTGATGGACTGGAGTGCTGTGGATTACTTGTGGATTATTGTGATGTTTTTATCAGCTGTTTGGACTCTCATTCTGACGGCACCCATTCACTGCAGAGCATCCATTGCTGAGACACTGATGCAATGCTACATTTATACAAATCTGATGAAGAAACAAACTGATCCTGATCTTGGATGGCCTGAGAGTGGGTGAATCTTCAGCAAATTTTCATGTCTGGGCAAACCATTCCTTTAAGTTAGTTAGCATTGGATTGTGGTTCCATGTTGGCAGCTATACAGTACAACCATGTGTTTATGTAAAAGTTGTGTACATATTTCAGCACTATAGTATTGCTTAGAAACAAGTAACACTAATTATCCCACTGCATCAACAAAACTAAGCGCGTCGTTTGAGGACTGGATCTCTGCAGGCTTATTTCCTCTCTTGAGTAAATTAAATTTAGATTTTGTCTGAAGGTACATCATGATGTGGCACTGTCCATAAAACATGCATCTTGCTCGTATGCCATGTTTCATGTGTACATCGGGCAGCGTGTCTGGTATTCTCCCAGAACCAGGACTCAAGGATGAATGGATGTATTGTGAAAGAGCCAAACATTCCAGGAAATGAGAGTTCCCCCCCCCCCGACCTCAGTCTCCTTCCAAAGCCTGGACGGGACGCTTATTTTCTACAGGAGCTTTTTTAAGTCCCAACCAACCATATCGATGCCTGCACCAACTATGAGACCGAATCCATTTGATGACGCCAGTACTATAGCAAATGGCTGAAGCTTGTGCTTCCTAAGGGCTTAAAACATCACTTGTCATTATTAGTGGAGCAATCAGATGTTCATAAGCAGTGTTGGGGGTAACGCAGTACAAGTAACGCGAGTTACGTAATCAGATTACTTTTTTCAAGTAACTAGTAAAGTAACGCATTACTTTTTAATTTACAAGAGAATATCTGAGTTACTTTTTCAAATAAGTAACGCAAGTTACTTTTTTTTCTTCAAATTTATTGATTGGCAGCTCTCCTGCCCCAATGTTGAGAGAAATCAGAAGATGTTACTGTAGTTCTAAAATTATTATGAATATGCATTAATTCATCTCACTCACAAAAAAAAAACACAGTTCAGTATTCCTCAAAATGAATAAAAATAATGCAACTCAGAATCCATTCTATTAATCAATGTCTTTGCTTCTGAGCTTCGATGATCCAGTTCAACCGTAATAAGCACAAATTACTCTAGACAAACATTTGTGTGTTTTTTTTTTTGCTGAAGTGTGTTGAAATTTCTTCTTCTGCATTCTACTGTACGGACGTACATGTACTTTCCCTTCAGCCTGAGGCTTATTCATTTCACTTTTGGTGTGAAAAGGCTTTTATATTTGCCAAAAATAGAACTTTTTATTTTAAAAACAAACAAGCAAGCCCTGTCCAGATTTAAAAAGTAACACAAAAGTAACGTAATTAGTTACTTTTTATGGAGTAACGCAATATTGTAACGCATTACTTTTAAAAGTAACTTTCCCCAACACTGGTCATAAGAAACATGGTGACAATAGGCTATATTATTGGTAGGTGGAGGTATAAACTTGTGGTGCCTGACATGCCAATGATACAAAGATTTTATAAACCATTTTTATAAACTTAATTTATAAACCATTTATAGGCCTACTACTCAGTATTTCTTTTAGTTACAGTATGTACTTTTTTGATAAAAAACCTTTTATATATATAAAAAAAAACATAAAATCCAATCATGTTATTAATGAGAGTGCAAAAAATTTTTTATTTCAAAACTTGACTTTACTCAAATTATACTTTGATAAGCCTATAATAATAATTTGTATTTCACAGCTGTCGGGACGGATTTCGCGGGAAATTTCGCGAGTGACTCACGGCCAGAGTTTCTTTTTTCTGCGACCTGACTCACGGGCGAATGATGTGAGTGAGTTGAGAAAAAACGTTGGCCATGGATGAGTTGTAAAAACAAAGAAACCGCTATTTTTTTGTCCATCGCTCTGATAAGATGTCCTATACTTTGAACCACATCATCCGCGCAGAGCCGAAGCACAACAACAATGTTCCTCCGCGAGACCCATGCAGTACTACTTCTTAACCGCTGGAGGGCCAGACGTTACATTGTGTATTCTTTCTTTATTTATTTAATGGAACAGTTTATTGCAACTTTAGACCAAAAACAAACAAAAAAAACGTTATGTGTTAAGTGTCATATTTGACATCATGGAGCTCTGGAAATAGTACTAACAATATAATATCAAAGTTATTCTTAACTTTACTTTAATAAAATTAGTAAAGATTTGCAGTGAAAAGACATGTAAAGCATGTGTCAGACGACTGACGGCATGTAGATTGTGAGCAACACGTTAAACAGCAAAGTTTTGATCATAATGAATCAAATTGATCAAATTTGGCTATCAAATATGAAACAGTAGGCTTTATAGGGTTAAGATCATTTCATAGTATTAGTCAAACCTTAGACCATATATTTCCATCATTAATGTACAAGATGTTTACAGACTAAAGAGCTGTATGTTATATATATACACACACACACACACACACACACACACACACATATATATATATATACATTCATTTCTTCCTGTCACTCCAGTTCAACTTCTTGTCCAATTCAATTCAAATTCACACTCACGAAGCGAAAGATATTCACGGTAATTTTTTACAGTGATAGGCTATATGTGAATACCGAATTGTACTAAAAAGAGCTGCTTCATCGTCAGATTTTTACATCATAGGCTACGCATTCACTCATTCTAAAAAAAGACAATAATCTACCTTTTTGCTTTAATGCCACAATAGCCTATACCTTCTGGAATGTTCAGGGTTACGTGAATAACATAAGAATAGAACACATTAGCATTTTGCATTCAAAGAAAAACATGCTGTAAAATCTTTTTTTTCCTATACAAATTACACACATGCCATTCCACATAGGCTACATTTGTGGTTCACTGGAAAAAATGTCATAATGCCATAATCGGTGGTTATACACTGGGTAGGCTATGGAACCTTAGTAATGTTTTGCTGTCTGCGCATTTGTGCTACTGACAGGAGTCCAGAGGAAAACGCAAATGCACTGCACAAAACCCAAAGCAGCAGCAGCTTCAGTCCAGACACACGCTCAGCACTGGAATCCCAACACGTAGTTATCCTTATATGGGCATTTTCCTGTTTGGCAGTGTTACGTCACTGCGTGACGCGCGAGCAGGTGCAGATGATGAGTCTGGAGGGGTCAGGAGAAAGAGACGGCACATTAAATATACATTTCATTATATGCGACTGCAACACGCATTAACGAAATATATAATCATTGATTAAAAAAAAGTAGCAGAGTTGGTCCAATATCCGTTTTGTCTTTCTTTCACTGCCTCATTTTCACATAGACTACTTTGTAACTGAATTATACATGACATATAGGCCTACATGATATAATATGCATCATAATTATACATAACATGGCAACACAAGACCTGATCAGATCAAAATATAGTGTCGAATATTTAGGTGAGCATCAGTCTGCATGAAATGATCTCGTTTTAAAGTACGTCATATGCATAAGTCATGCATAATTTATAAGGACGTTATGCATGTCTTTATGCATATCAGGGTCCATCAGAACTTTATGAATGAATACGTGACACGGACCACAGTTCGTCCTCACAGGGGTTATCGATTCCCTGCGCGCAGCTTTACTACAATAACCTCTGTTTCACTCGACATTTTAGTTCAGTGTGGACTAAACGATCATATGCGCGAGTGTGCTCAGAAAGCGCAGTTTTCCCCGCGTGCGGAATGGTACGGACCGTTTCATTCATAAAACCCAGGCGGACTATAAATAAGCGCTCGCGGAGCTGAGTGTCACTGACCAGGTTTATAAACCTGGAGAGAGCGGCTCCGACATCACGAAGCGCATCTGGATCAGAAAAGCTGGAATCTAGTCAATAGTTTTGTCCGTGCGCGCTGGAGAGATGTTTCTGAACAACGCGAAGACTGATCCGGACTCCTCATGCTCTTCTGCCGGGGACAAACCTACCGATGCCCCGATAGACAGCGGCACACAGGTAGATGCTTCCACTTTCATGCGTTACATCATAATAAAACACTGGCGTGCATGGTGATTAATTGCTATATATCATGCAAATGTATGTTTCTGGGGGCTGTTGTTTCTTATTCTGAAAAATACAATAGATAGCCTATTATTATTATTATCCTGAAGTATTTTTAAATAGTCATATTTACAAGATTTAGAATAGCACGCTATTGCAATGCGTGCGCTTCATCTGTTTATCTGATGCTGAATGTGATGTTTTGTCGCGCATCCTTTGCAATGCAGTGAAACATGGTAAAGCACTGTGTAAATGCAGCTGTTCATTGAGAAAAATAAATCCACTGAGGAGAGCCCACAGCAGTCCTGCGTAAGCATTGACGTCAGAGGCAATGCAGAAGTTAAATATTGATCGGGAGACTATTTTTAGACGCTCGAGCGTATTTAAAGAAAGCGTCTTAAGTGTAAAGTAAAAACAACTCGAAAGAGTACAACGTACGGTGAATTTAAAAATGATGTTTGAAAACCTGGTTGTCCAGATGCACATAAATCAGAGTTGTGTTTATATAGCTAGAATTGCATATTTCCATCGCAATTGCAGGGCTCGTTCGTTCCGACGGTCACCGCGATCTCCAGCACGCCAGACCTGCAGTGGATGGTCCAGCCGACCATCATCACGTCTGTGTCTCCGTGTCTGGGTAGAGCCGAAAGCAGTGAACCGGCAAAGAGCAAGCCAGCTGGGAACAAGGGGAAATGCGCTGCCAGAAAGAGCAAGAGCAAGAGCGAGCAGGTACGCATTTCTGCATTCGCTGCGCGTTTGGCGCGCGTGATAACCTGTGAAGCGTGATTTGGGGATGCAGTTCTTGCTTTGGCATGTTGCCTAGACCAGCAGCATCCGCTTTATATTCAGGTCACAGCAAGTCTGCAACAATAGACTATTTTTAGACGCATTGCAGAGAAAGACGTGCGTGCCATTGGGGTGAACTGGCGGTAGAAGTCAAGCGTTTCTGCAAGGGATGCATGGATTCTTCGAGATGGTAATAAGTGCAATTCGTCTTTGCTTTGACTAGCTCTCTCCGGAGGAAGAGGAGAGGAAGAGGATCAGGAGAGAGAGGAATAAAATGGCTGCAGCGAAGTGTCGCAACAGACGGAGAGAACTCACAGACACCCTCCAGGCAGTGAGTATACAGACATCACAACATAAGGTTTCATTCTGAAAGCTCCAGTTCGTCCCAAAAATGAAAATTCGCTCTGTTTACTCAGCCACTATTAAAAATGTAATTCATATACGGTGCGCTTTTGCGCCATTGACCAAGGCTACCAAAAAAGCCGTATGATGTGAGAACAGACTCAGTTTTAAAGGTGAAGTGGATATTTCCAGAAAGACTTGAATCCCAGACTCATGTCATTGGTTGATTTGCTGTTAGGGCTGGTCGGGATGTTCAAACAAACAAACAGAGTAATATTTACAATTTTTAGGTGAGTCCACCTACCAATGGCTTATAAATATTAAACTGAGCTATAAGAAGATATGTTCAACGAAAAAAATAACTCCAAAACTTTCAAAATGGTGCAATAACGATCAAGTCATTTGATGTAAATGGCACCATATTTTAAAAAATACAACTTTTCAGTGAACCATTTTTTTGTGCAGAGCATTTTGATAATCTAATAAGATAATAAAAATAAGAACCTTTCTGGATGTTAAAGGTTCTCCATAGAAGACAATAAAGAACCCATGTAAAGGAAAAACATCTTTTGAAAAATGGATAACATCCTGGAAGAAAATGTAGCAGAACCTTTTCTGTTAAGTTTACGGACTTCAACCCTAAAACACCACACAATGCAATGCGTAATTCATAATATGGGTAAAACACCTGTAAAAAAATATAACTACATAAAATTCCTTAACATTGGGCCCCATTTTTACAGGCTTTCGTAGAGTGCAGGATCTAAATGTTTTGTTATTTTGGAGCTTGACTCACAGCCAGTTGACTATTAAATAGAAAATCTGAGGAAATTCCTTTAAAAAAAAAAAAAACATGCTAAAGGTGCAGTCACATTTATCATTGTTCTGAGAATTTTCCCAAGTGAAATAATTTCAATAGGAATAATCCACATGAATTTTGCATGGGGGCGAAAGATGTCCATGCAGATCTCGCTTCAGGTTCAAACTGATCATCAACATGACATGGGGAAGTCGTGGCCTAATAGTTAGAGAGTTGGACTCGTAACCCAAAGGTTGCGGGTTCGAGTCTCGTACCGGCAGGGGTTGTAGGTGGGGGGAGTGAATGTACAGCGCTCTCTTCCACCTTCAATACCATGACTGAGGCGCCCTTGAGCAAGGCACTGAACCCCCAACTGCTCCCCGGGCGCTGCAGCAAAAATGGCTGCCCACTGCTCCGGGTGTGTGTTCACTGCTGTGTGTGTGCAGTGGGTGGATGGGTTAAATGCAGAGCACTAATTCCTAGTATGGGTAACCATACTTGGCCACATGTCACGTCACTTTTTTAACAGAAAGCTGCTTGGTTTGAAAGTGACTTCTGTGAGAGCGGTGCTTCATGCATTGCCACACTTTTGACAATAGACAATGGAGCTTTTTGCCTGCAAAATTGTGCTGAAATTGCACTGATGTGACCGCATCCTTAAGCCATATAAGTTTTCCTTTCGATATGTGGATCTACCTGTGGAATAATCCTACTTTTGGTTTCTCCAGGAAACAGACAAGCTAGAAGAGGACAAAGCCGCCCTCCAGGCTGAAATCGAGAATCTCCTGAAGGAAAAGGAGAGGCTTGAGTATGTTCTCGCCTCTCATAAACCTCTTTGCCAGCTTCCTGAAGAGCTGGACTGCCTGTTTCCAGAGTCTCCTCAGCCACTTCCAACTCCCGAAATGGCCAGCAAACTCCCCGAGGACGGCCTGCAAGACGCTGCTTCCCTGCAGGACTTGGAGATCCCCACGGTACCGTCCACCGCTATTTCCGGGAACTCCAACATCCTGCTGTGCTCCAGCGCAGAGGTCAGTTTGTGCGACCTCGAGCCCTCTCTGGAGGTCAAGGACGAGCTCCTCGCCGCCATCGATAAGGACCGGGTCTCGGCAGAAACGGCCCGCTCCGTCCCCGACATCGATCTGACCGGCTCGCTGGGCATCACGGACTGGGAAACCCTCTACAAGTCTGTGGCCAATGATCTCGAACCTTTGAGCACGCCGGTGGTGAGCACATCCACACCCACCTGCAGCAACTACCTGTCCGTATTTACCTTCGCCTGCCCAGAGCTGGACTCCCTGGCCGAGGGACTGGATGGGTGCAAAGGAGACTGGATGGGCATGAGCAAAGCAGAATCTAGCGTCGATATCCTCAACTCTCCCACCCTTCTTGCCTTATAAATGCAAGCGTTGATGATGTAATGTCACGATATTGTTCTTAATATCTATTTGATATCGCGGTGTTATGATGTCCAGATGTGTGATGTTGGTGTGAAGCCAGCTGTTTTATGGCTGCATCCATGTAATTTGTGCGGGACGGGGATTTACTTTCTTCCAGAGACATTTGATGTACCCCAAATACAAGAGCATGGATAATTATCTTATACGAGCAGATATGAACTATGTTCTGGTTTGAAAAGCATGCACGAGATATCTATATATAAATATATATGTATAACATATATAGTATATATATATATATGTATCAGTTCCATATTTGTTTGATCTGGTGCTATAAGTTCTGTGGAATTGACTGCGGTTTTGTGTTTGTTTTCTCTGCCAATAGATTATGGACTCGTGTTGTGCTTTAATATACAGTCATCGGAGTTATCGCATACCTCAGTGTCATCATTCGACTGTGTTTTCACATCGTTCTTAAATGTTTAGAGTTTTCCATGAAAACATCCAGTGCTATATCGATGGAGATGTATTTTATGATAATTTATTTTTCTACATTTTAAATTTGACTTTGTCAAATGAAAAGAACAAAAGGAGCATTGATTGCTGAATAAATCGATATACAGTCGTGCACTGGTGTTCTTGTGTCCTTTGTTTTGGAAATAAACTGTGGACAGAAAGCAGAGCTTAATAACTGGCATGCACCAGGATGTTCAGATGCAGGCCATTAATTCAGTGCTCTTTTATTTACAGTATAATCTTACAAATATAGCCACAAGCATCAATCACTGACCATTGTGGTTTTGACAGCCAAGTCCATCTCGGATCTTCAGTGATAGTTAGGGTTCGACGAAACAGGTTCCAGCAATAGATGTTAGCATAAAAAGATACAACTGACGTCCAAAGAAAATCACTACTGATAGACTGAAAGAGAAGTCCAAAAAACCCTCTAAAAATTAATACTGGCATAAGATATGTGATCATAAGACTTATAGGATATCTTATAGGATACAGAAACAAGCAGACGTTGACTGTTGCACTATGCCTGCAAAGAAGACTTTAATCATATATTTGTATTCAGATTGTCATATAACTGAAATAGCATGTTATGTAATAAATCAATTAATTCTTGGGCTGCAGGTTCTTCTGAGCTGGTGTCTGGTTATATGAGAATGTGTTATTCATAATACTAAATTGAGTCTTTATATACAGTAGAATTACTATAATATTATCTTACAAGAGACAAATGAGAGACTTTCTGATTATATAAAATGATATTGTCAGAGCAACATAGTGTACAAATAAACAGGTTTAGATTAGACTCAAGATTTCTTATCCATCATCTCTAGTGGACAACATGAGTGTAGCGAATCAGCTCATGGGAAATATGAATAATTAATCATAACTAGTTATAATTAATTATGAATATTTTAGATCCGCTGTAGATATTTAGCTGACCTCTCAGGGTCAACTGTCTTGTCAATTCTAAGAACGTTAATTTCCTGGTTAAGGGAAATAACTTTCTTACTGTACAACTCTACACAGAGCTTGTAGCATAAATCTGCATGATTAGGGACTCCAGTTATGAGCAAACAATGAACAACGTCAAGTGTGATACAAGTAAGGTTTTATCAACTACATAAACACTTAAACTAGTCTAACATACACATAAACACTTAAACTGGTCTAACATACACATAAACACACACACACACACACACATACAGTTGGTATAGGAAAGGGTTAAAAGCTTAACGCAGTAAAGAGAAGAGAAATAAGGAATATGAAGTTATAGAACCATTTGCATCAAATGAAAAATGGTGTGTCTGATTGGTCCAGACGCTACATGAGTCTTATTTACAGCATCTGTCAGATGAAATGACTGATAGTTTAGAGTTTACTGTCAGCACCCTGAACATCAGAAATTCATGAAACTGAGCATGTTTCCTTCCACATGTTCTTCAAGCTTTGAGGAATTTGGATTTTTGTGCACAGAAGATTCCATTCAGATTTGATATCATTAGCCATTGAAATTTGATTGGCCTGCTATTTAATTAAATTTTTTTTTTTTTTTTTACATAGCCAAGTCATATTAGAGGATATGTTATGACGTCCACCAAAGAAGATGCATACCAATTTTACCTCAGAAAGTCCTGTGGTCTGTGTTTATCGAGTTTTGTTAAGTTTGGACGTGGGCGTCAGGAGGAAAATCAGCAATGCCAGAAATTAGGGATGCACCGATACCACTTTTTCCATCGGGCCCGATACCGATACCAGTATCGGTATCGGTGCATCCCTACCAGAAATGAATGGTTTAATTTGTTTATATCTTCACAACATTTGGATGAATGAAAATAATTTAAACACATTTAATTGTTTAACAGACATGGGCTGATATGTTTTGGGCTGCAGCTCATAATAACTAAATGTCCTTTTTCTTGTAAGCACAACGTCCAAAGTCTTCACAAAACATGGTACACATGGACAAGACATTCTTAGAAAATATCCAAAATATCATGAATTTCTGATTGTTAGGGGATTACAGAGATTTCTTTTTTTTATTGCTATCTCATAGTTCTACTCATATGGTGTATTAAGGTTTATAGCAGGTGTTAACAGTGATTAACAACTACAAAGGTGTCACACACACCATGTACGTGTGATAAATCTTCACTCGACTGCTGATGTTGAGAAATACTCAATAGAGTGTGAGTGACTCTTCACACTCCACATTATATATAATGTCACATACAACAAAGCATCAAAAAGTACTATGGTACCGTTTGGATAGGAAACAGAGTACCATGCAAATATCACGGTACAAGCATTCCAGTATCATACTGCCACACATGCTGCTGTATAATTTTTTTGTCAGGGGTATTAAACAAAATCTCGCTTCATTACATGTTTGCAGCTTCTGAAAAAACCCTAAAAAACAAACATTGCAAACTCCTTTAGGTCTTTGGTCTGCTCCTCTGGAAGCTTCTTCACTCCTCATTCTTCATGGTGCAATTAAGTGAACTGAGATGTCCTTTAAGATGTCGGACTTTGACTGATTTCTGGAGGAGCAAGGAAATGAGAAAGCATCAGTCTGAGTAGTGAGAAGCACACCGTGTCAGGTTTTGTTAAGTCTGGACATTGCATTGAGCAGAGGCTAGTTAGTCAAAATGGGCAACGCTTTGATAAATCAAAATTCTTTTGATAACTTTCTGTCAAGAAGGTCTTGTGCTGATGTGTGCCAAGTTTTAGGCCAGTTGAACCGATGGCCGAAGTTTTAGAAAAAGCAAGTAAACAATAAACCAGTAAACGGATATTTATACAGACATTTATATACAGAGCTGTCGCAAGGGCTGTGCCAAGTGTGCAACCGCGCAGGGCCTCGCGCCAAAATAAAGTGACCTCTGACTTGATGTAAAAAGCCAATAGTTTTAAAGTTCATGTTTTTGCCTTCAAAAGACTATAATACCTAAAAGTCAAAGCAAATAGTGAGACAATGCATATGATGTTATTATTCTGCTGTTTAAAAATGCATTATGCAGTAAAACTTAAAATCGCTGTTGGGCGGAAACCTCGTAGCCTATGTTCAAAACCTCTACTTACTTAAAATACTGTATTTTTTTTATAATTATACACTGTGTTGTATAAGTTGATATCGTGGCTTTATATATGGTCAGACACTTGCATATATCATTATATAATTAACATTTGACCAAAATCAAGCTCAAGTGGAGCTATGAGGGTTTTAACCAGCGAATGTCGGACATCAATGTGTTTTGTCCGTCATTAGAACGGCTGCATCTGAGGCAGTAAGTGCATCGCATTTCATCAATTTACAAGTTATAAAGTTTATTGGAGCTATGTGGGCGCTCAGTTTTTTCTGTCATTTTGTTCTGCCAAAATGTAATGTTTTTAAATAAGAAGTGCACAGTCTATTTAAAGGGACAGTTCACCCGAAAATGAAAATTCTGTCATTAATTACTCACCTTCATGTCGTTTCAAACCCGTAAGACCTTCGTTCATCTTCGGAACACAAATTAAGATATTTTTGATGGAATCCGAGAGCTTTCTGACCCTCCGTAGACAGCAACGCAACTTCCGCGTTCAAGGCCCAGAAGGCAGTAAGGACATCATTAAAACAGTCCATGTGACATCAGCGGTTCAACCGTAGTGTTATTAAGCTATGACAGTACTTTTTGTATACAAAGAAAACAAAAATAACAACTTTATTCATCAATTCTTCTCTTCCGAGTCAGTCTCCGCCACCATTCACGAGAGTACCACGACGTACCTCTCCGGGCCTTGAACGTTTCAGCTGCGTTTCTGGAGGGTCAGAAAGCTCTCGGATTTCATCAACAATATCTTAATTTGTGTTCCAAAGATGAACGAAGGTCTTGCGGGTTTGGAACGACATGAGGGTGAGTAATTAATGATATCATTTTTGGGTGAGCTAACCCTTTAAAATTTAATCAGTAGGACTTAGCCTTTATATATAAACAGTAATGCATAATAATAATGATGATGATAATAACAATAGAGTGCATGCGTGTGACCGTGAGCACGGCATTGCACGCCAATTTCGTAGAGAACTTTACTCTGCATTTTTAATTGTGATTTTGGCTGCCTCTGAAATGGGTCAAACCATAGATATTATAGAAGTTCAAGAAAATACTCTAGAAATCCGCATTCTTTCAGGCGATGTCTGAAATGGATGTGCTCCGTTCAGTTGAATGATAAGGTTTATCCTCGGTTTGTCTGTCTATTTGATGCGCATTAAAGTTGTGTTTGTTACTATAGCATCACAAATGCTAGATATGGTAGATTTGGTCTGTGCAACTTCAGATCCGTAAAAATGTTTCAGTGTTATTCAGTGTTTTTTTTTTCTTCGTTTTCTTCTTTGATAACAGTTAAATTGATTGCCTTCTACCATGTTTTTGGACATATAGACCAAGTTAATGCCATGGTATTTTATGAAGTACTTTAGAGAAACTAATGTAAGCTATATCATATGATGCAGGGGCGTCGCTAGATTCATTTTACACTGAAATACCGATGTAGGCTCCCCCAGTAATATATTAGGCTACAGATAAACACTTGTCTGATGGTGGAGATGACCATATACCGAAATGAGGAAATAGTTTCCCTGATGATAGTATTTCAGAAGTCATGTCCTGTGTGTTTTCTATCAGCTGTTTAGCCACTTACTAGTGATGCCAGACCGCAAATTTGATCTAATCGGTC